AATAAAGTCGCACCTACTGACATCCCCTATCTACAGATTAACAATGTCGCAAAGCTGCAATAAAATAGCAAGGAATTATGTTAACCCGATAGTTTTGTGTAGGAATATGGTCCATAAATATTATATAAAATACAGATACACGAAGCGATATAGCGGAGCGGTGATAATATCCTCTATATATTCATTTCTTGGTTATCGAGAAACCATTGTAAAAGTATTTCTCGAACCTAATTACGTCAACAATTTAAGGTGTTATTGCGCGATCTGCTGTTAGACTTTCAAAAGATTATTCAAAACAGCTGCGAGTTTTTAATTATTTATATCTAATTGTGTATCATAAACATACTTATTGTGATTGTAACTTTGCAGCTTGCAACAATATTTTGGACTCGAAATAGCAAGAACATAATTTAGGCCATTTTGCAGCATTTTAATCTATAAAAGAGTTTTAATATATTTGATAACACTCACAATGTACTCACTCACTGTACAATGACAAGGTTATTTTAAGAGATATGTTTTTAAATTGTTAGCGCACCATTGGTACGGAGTCTTTAGAAGCAAGTTTATGTTATGTGTAAATAATATGTACGAGGGGTGATCAATAAGTAATGATAATCAATATGAAACAGAACTATTAGATTAAAAAAAGTATTTTATTTTTCAACATAGTCTCCTTGCAAGTTAATACATTTAGTGTATCTTTTTTCTAAGCCCATGATTCCCTTAGAAAAAAATTCTTTGTCTTGACCCTCCCAAAATGCCTCTACTGCGGCCATCACTTCACTATTGTCCTCAAATTTGTTGCCCCGGAGGTGTTCTTTGAGCCGAGGAAAGAGGTAGAAGTCACTGGGAGCTAGATCTGGCGAATAGGGAGGGTGTTCGAGCAGTTCGAACCCCGTTTCTTCAGTGGCAGCCATCGCAACTGCGGCTTTGTGAGCCGGGGCGTTGTCTTGGTGAAACAGCACTCCAGCGCGCAGTTTACCGCGTCTTTTTGACTTAATAGCTTCTCGCAATCTTCTTATTTGGCCTGCGTAGTAAGAGCCTGTTATAGTGGCCCCCTTTTCCAAATATTCCACCATAATAATTCCTTCTGCATCCCAGAAAACAGACGCCATAACCTTTCCCGCTGAACTTGACACTTTGAATTTCTTCGGCGTTGGTGAGGAAGCTCGTTTCCAAGTCATTGATTGTTGTTTGGTTTCGGGATCAAAGTGGTGGATCCAGGTCTCGTCCATGGTCACAAAACGCGACAAAAAAAATTCTTTATCGGCCTGGAACTTTTGAAGATTCACCCTCGAAATGTCGACTCGTTTCTTTTTTTGCTCGTCGGTTAACATTCTCGGTACCCAACGCGCAGAGACCTTTTTCATATGCATTTTGTTGACAATGATTTTTTGAACGCTGCCATAGGAGATCCCTGTGACCTCAGCTACATGCCTTACGGTCACACTTCGATCGGCCAACACGATATCTTCCACTTTTTTGACGTTTTCTCCAGTAAGGGACGTGGAAGGGCGTCCCTCGCGATGTTCATCTTCAGTGGAGGTTCTGCCCAGCTTAAATTCCTTTGCCCAGCGTGCGACTGTGGAATATGGAGGAGCAGACTCCCCCAATGTTTCCTCTAAGTCGCTGTGTATGTCTTTGGTAGACATTTTTTTCAGGCAGAGGTACTTGACGACAGCTCTTATTTCATTTTTCTCCATTTTGATGTTTTCTCTTCGACAGTTCGTATTCAAATGAATGTATCTCCCGGTAATGGTGTCCTATTTATACATTTTTTTGAAGCTGAAGTAGTGGATATATAAGCAAGCAGAAAAATAATAATTTGGGTTTTTGTGCGTTCTAGAAATACTCGATTATCATTACTTATTGATCACCCCTCGTACTAGTGCATCGGACTTTCTCATTACATGAACAAAAAACCACGTAGGCGTGAAGTGCTTTAAGAAAAATGGTGTGGCTCGTGGTGAATCTTACATACGTATATGAATTTCAAGTTCTTCTTACTGTAAAAGTTGAGACAAAAAGACGAGGCAACGGACGCCTATGCTATTTATATTTTAATCTTGTAAATGGGATCAGGAATAATCCTCAACGGCAAATTTAAGACTTCATTTTTATTTTTTATAAAAGTTTGTATATTTTCCTTATAGAATACTCAGACGATAAATGCAATGCTATAAATTATAGTGTCTGTGGAAATGGGGAACTAGTTATTCCTATCTATACTAATTTTATAAAGCTGAAGAGTTTGTTTGTTTGTTTGTTTGAACGCGGTAATCTCAGAAACCAATTATTTTAGCATGGAATAGTCAATGAACTATCCCATACTAAGAGAATTTTATAGAACCTTATAGCCGTCCTTGATACGTTTATCAAGGACGGCTATTAGGTTATATAACATCGCTCTACCACCGATAGGGGCCAAGCATCAATGAAAAACATTGCAAAAACGGTGAAAATTTATTCCTTTTGAGAGTCACACAATAGAGTGGCGTTATTGGTGATAGTTTATCACAATTTGTCTTCGTTTATGTTCCCCGAAACGACCAATTGTTTTTTATAGTTCCGCACACGCAAATAGATGGAATTTTATATAGGGTTACTTACGTTATAGGGGTTTACTATGTGAACTAGAGCGCTTATCGTGGAAATTCGGCGGTGGAAATAAACCAGTGTATTGTTACATAGGATAGGCAGTAAAGTCGTCTATTGTAGTCTATAATGAATATTTCTAGTCTAGTAATAAATATTTGTAGTCTAAAACAGTTTTTTTTTTTAATAAGCAAAGCAATGAGACATTTATATCGAAAAGAGTAGTCATACCTAAGCAATATAAACAATTTATATAGATTAGTATAAATACAGATTAGTAGGATTTACATATGTATGACAAATATTTCATAAGTTAAGACCTTATTTATTTTTCTAATTTCTGTATACCTATCAGCAGCAACTTAAAATGTATCAAGTCCATCCAAAGGTTGCCTGGAAGAAATTGCACTAAGCGATAAGGCCGCCCTTTGTACATTACATCTGTTGTAAATTACTTTATAATGTCTGTAAAACCCTGGTGTACAAATAAAGTATTATCTATCTATCTATCTAAAAATGTATGTACCTTCTTTTCATATGCAGTATTCCGCTTACCGCCAGGCATTCTCAAAGACTTTAGAAATCCGGAACCTTTCCACATAAGATAAAGTTGTGTATTGTAATTATAGGAAATTCTCTATTTTTCAATGAAATAACCGTGAAGATAGATATTAAAATTTATATAAATACTGAGCACAATTTATTTTCATCGTATCATACTCTACTGCCGCAAATAAAGATTTCAGCAATCTCCAAGCAATTGCTACCAAAGTACATCAAAACATAAATATCGGAAACGACTAAGTTGCATGCAGTTGGATGTAAATAGTCTCAATGCACTCTTTATCGTTGTGGAATAGCCCAACAATCTAATAAAAAGGGGTTCCCATGGCTCCATTAGCGTCTATCAGCCGTATCGAAGTATGAAGTCGAACCCGTGATGCGTCGAACGGCCGCCCAACATGTCCCCCACATTTAATCTTAGGTCTTAGATAGGGGTGTCATCTAAAAGCTAAAAGCGCTTGTAAATTGCACCAATCTAGTTTCTTTGACGTGTTATTAAATTTGCGTGCGTTATGTTCAGTTTTTAAAGATCTATATGAGCTATCTTTAAGAAAGTATTTATTTCTGCTGCTAAATCATAGACGAGTGTTTTTCTCGAGTACGGAAGTCTGTATTTAGAGATAAATTTTTCAAAATTTTGGATATTGTAAAGTTGCATCAGGCTTTAGTTCTCTAAAGGTGGTATTTTTATGTCTTATGTTGTTGCCATATTGTTGTTGTTGTTCATACTCGTATTTTAGAATAAAAACAGGTACACTTTGTAGTCGTGTGGGTTAACGAAATAGTTTTACTCATAATATAATTATTCAATACGTGTATGTGGAAAATTTCTCCGTAACCCCTATACTCAAATTACTTTTCTATTTAAAGATTCACTTTGCTTTAAACTGATTTTAAAAATATACATTCCACAGGCTATAAAAATAGTAAATAATTAAATAAGATATATCTAAGAGAAACGCAGTTATAATTTAACTTTTCAGACTGTTCTGTAAACTGAAAACGGGAGATTTTACCGTCGCATCGCTAGACATATTTTTATCTTATACTAGGACTATAACAGATAAAACAATCAAACACAATGAACAAAAGTACCTTTAGCAAAAAGAAAAGGTGGAAACGATATTTTACTTTTATTTTTTTAGTGAAAACCAAATTCTAGTTATTTAACCAACTGGTAGTTGAATTTTAATTAATTAGTCAAAACCAAGAATTATATTTCAAAGTACACTTCTGCAGTTTCTTGTGATAACTCTACTAAAACGTTATTCGCATTATTCTCAACAAAAAGTTTGTGAAAAACTTATAATATTTGTTGAATGTTTATTTTTTATATTTTCATTGTATAAACCTATACCATATTAATAACAAAGGTGTTTCATCTTAGTTTTTAAAGGCAGATTTTAACCGGGTTTTATTAAAGAGGTTTTAAACGTCAATTATAAAAGTACTAAATATAGTTTCTTATAAACATAAAAACGGTTTTATGGTAAATGTAACTAATTTCGTTTATGCGTACGATACTATAATTTATAGGCAAATGCATTAGAGTTAAGCTTAAATGTGGCTCATAAATCCACCATCTAATATGTCTTAAAACCTGTAAAACGTTAAAACTACTTCAGCCTTTTAGACGAACCTTTTTTTAATAGCGGTGTATTAAGAAAAATATAAACAAGGATAATTATAGAATACACATATAACTAATAACTACTAAAATACATTTTTCTATTAATTTGTGCTACCAGCCTTCGGGGACGCTACCAGTAGGCGACGATGCGGACCTCTTTATGTACAAAATGTTGTCGCATGTTAAAGGGTTCAATATAAATAAATAGCTACTTTAATAATGTAAAACTTAATAGTCTAGTACTCACATCATGGGTCGTATCGCCCTTGTGTATTCTTTCCTCGGTCTCCTGAACGCGTTCTGTGATGTTTCTCGTTAGAACTTTGCGGTCTTTGCTCTCTCGCACTTTGCCATCTGGGTTGGCTACCACACATGATGTCACTAATACCTTCGTCCCAGCTGGAGCCACTACACCTCCGAGGACGAGACCGTCGACTTCTGTAAAAAAAAAATATCAGTGCAATTCTGAAACCCGAATTTTGTCCATTTTTCCGAATGAAAAACATTGTAGTTCTAAGATCTTACATAACAGTCTATTTTCGAATGAAAAAAATTGTAAACTTAGGATAGATAGAAACGGCAATCAAGAAATTTTATTGTGGTAATGCATATATTATAACATTATTTGATAAGATTATAATAAATGAAAAAAAAATTAAAATAAAAATAAAATTATAAACGTTAATAAAACTACTGAAATGTAAATATTTGTTTACCATCGGGGGTCTCTCCTATTGCGTCTTGGACGCCTCCACTGATTCCAGCAGGTGAAGTTTCTTCGCTGACTTCATTATCAGGTACACGGTGCTGCAAAAATTGTAATGATAACTAAATCAATTAAAACTTATTTATGTACATTTCCGAGCCCTACACATAAATGGTAATGTGTGCATACAAAACCATAAAGATTATTATCATTGCCGTTGTGAACAAACCGAATAAAACCACACGGATTGGTATACCGTGCCTAAAATTGAAAGGTTCGGGAAACAACTGCTGTTAGCACATTCGCTGTAATCGGTACGTTGCACAATCACCTAAAGGAATGTCTAAGACTCGTCAAACTAGACAATCTAATACTCATAACAGCAAGTACCAAGAAAGTGCAGCGTGGTTAAAATTTGAAATGACGGACCAATTCAATATTAAAATCTTTTAAATCTAAGAGGGTCAACAAGGCAAAATGCTTAGGAAAGAGGCCGATTTATTATCACAGGAAACCGCTTACGATCGGAAACTTCGTGTGTGTGTTTGACAGTTGGTTGTATAAATAAGTAGGAATAAGTAATATTTAAATGATTGTGACCATACCTCTGTCTGTTGAAAATTAGTAGTGTGTGTATCTTCGTTGACGGAGGTGGATATCTTAGGTCCAGAATCACTAAGTATTCGTCCATCTTCTAATATTAATTCCCGCTTGACTCTCGTCGCAATTTGACGCGTGGTGGTAACTTCACTCTTTTTCCGAGTCACCCATTCTTCTGCAATTATATTTTATAATTAAAATTATACTTACTATTCTTAACGAACAGGTTGATGCCTCTATTTCATGAATATGACAAAGAGCGTACACTTAGGCTGTACACAGCCATAATGGCTGCGTACAACGCAAGTTAAAAAGAATATTATTCAACTGAAGCTATCACTGTGTACCCATCCAATTACAACACCAGATAATAACTGCTAAATGGATTTCGTTATAGAATTAATAACAACGTTTAACCTACACTCCGTTTACTTTGGTGGCAGCCCTGGTGCGTCTAGTTTGGATATTATGTGTGATGCACATGCACCTATAGGTGGATTTACTTTAAAATACCTATGTGAAATTTAAAAGATAGAAAAGTACAAACCTTCTTTGGTTGTTGCTATTGTATCACCCGGCTCGGCCTGAAAAAGAAATCAATCTTTAACTCATTCAGTTCGAAAAGTTTACTCCTAACCAAATTCAGATAGATATAAATAACACAAATGAAATTAGCTGGAACTGAATTTAGTTGTTGTAACTTAGTTATTTGTGAAGATTACAAACAGATGCAATCAGTAATTTAACAATGTAATGAACGAAATTATATAGGTAATTGTAACGAAATTGATTCAGGCTTTTTAAGTTGTGATTTAGCGCCATCTCTTACCGAATAGTTAAACTTATACAAGTCGTAGTTATGGTTAGGTGGGTTTGACATATATTGAAGTAGTACGCGCGGCCGTCGCTTGATGGCGCCATGATCACTTAAAGGAAAAACTGTCACCATTAAAATTCATATAATTTTCACTATTCGCGGAAAATTATTACACACACTCAGTCCACTGCTATATTTTATTGTCTATTATCACTTTAACTGTTCACATAACTTAATATGTATACATGAGTAATGTTTTAAAAACATCACTTATATACTGAGTATGAACTGACTATAAATTAAATTATACTAGAAATATAATATATACACATACGGAAATCTGTGAGCGAATACCGTGTATTCTAGCTCTTTGTCAATAATCGACTGAAGGAAAATCAAGGCTTAGCTGTAACTTAGTTAATGAGGCGTGGATTAACATTTTCTTTTGGCACACAATGCTATGTAGAAAATACGATGAGTATTCCGTCCGTAGGTGAGCGCTTCCGTTGGGAGCCAACTTTATAGAGGACAGGTACGAGTATGTCCTATATAGTATTGGTAAGCATTTAAAATTATTTTCCCTTCTCAGTATACAGAAAAATCATTTTATGAAAACGCTTAGAGACTTCTTATCTCGTTCCGAAACAGAGACTATAGAACTCTAAGAAATGTGTTATCCCCATGGTGACTAGTTGGTAAAAAATGCCTATATTTCATCACAAATAAATCGTATTCTGAAACATATAGGACACGGGTAGAGGCCAAAAGTTTTGTACAATAATCATTTTAAAGTGATTGCTGCTAATTCACGTGTTAGGTACATTTAATAATGGAATGCGAAACATTTTTTCCGCTTCTTCCACAGATAATTTAGAATTTATGAAATATTCTCACGGAGAAAATTAATCGCCTTTTTCCTCATAACTTTTTTCCAGCGAACGTTTCTAAGTTCAAACGAAGCGTGCGTAATCCAATCTCTAAACTGCTCGAGGACGTCACTAGGGTTTGCTCCATTTAAATTTCATGGTAGGGCTGTCCTCGAGTGGAGCGGTATATTAATAACGGTCTGTGTAATACGGGGCTATTCAAAGTTACATAGTCTATGGATCACATTGATTATAAACGACACGGAAAGTTTTTCCATTTGTGTGCCCACAGGGGACGACAAAGAAAATATGGTACGTGACTGCAAATGTTATTAGGTAGCGAGTAGCGACGCTCAACTTAACCGTCTTTGGACTAATAACTTCCTGCTGCATTTATAAAATGGCATTATTTATAGTTCTTGACGAAACAAATATTTAAAAAAATTGAATATTGTGAGTATTTATGTAATAAAGAACAAAATCATGATATTCATGATTTTGTTCTCAGATTCGTTCTAAGAAATGAATCTGCTATCGGACAGTATGTTATATCCAAACTACTGTCTCTTTAGATCAGGACCGGTGATGGACCAAAATGGTTAAGAACATCAAGTACATACAACATAAATAAACTAAACTTTTGAAAAATAAGAATAAGAAAACCTCCATAAAGTAGGTGATTTTAATCTTTATCGTTTCTAATTTCATTCATTTTTAAATGAAGTATGATTATCAGATGTCTATTATCATACGACAAAATATGAAATAGTGCTGTTATTGTCCATTAATCACGTGAGGCTTGAAAGGGTTCGGAAAAATCACGAGATTAAGGAGCCAAGCTAAGGAGGTTATATCTGTTAAGGAGGGAGATTATAATGAAATATCACGTGTTAATAAAGCAGTGGACTATTAAAGGCTGTTGATGTGAATCAGATTATACCTGTATGAAAATTCTTTTAAAATTATTATTTTTCTGCATTGTATGTTCCTATCCATGGTGTACAATAAAGAGTACCTATCCATCTTTCTTACACTTCTATAGAAAACCACACTTTTATTAAATACTATAGTTTACTCACTGTATAGCAATTGTCATGTCTTGTCATGTTCACGCATTACCATTTTGCCACTTACGTATTCAAGTGATACCATCAAAAAAGTCTGGTCACTGCCCCCTCGTATAGTACACCCATTGACAAATTGTTACGTTACGAAGATGTATCGTTTGCACCACACGCGGCGACGTTATCTCTCTCGCCTCGTCTCGATGTGGAATTGAGACTTAAATGGATTGTTGTGTTACATATCGATGATTGCTAAACACATGTGGTGCTTTTGATTGCTATCGTTTTGATGTATTATTTAAACAGTCATGAAGTAAGGGTGTTTTCACATAATTTTACAAGTTGGAATTCTTGTGTGTTCAATCCTTTATTATTTACAACAAAACCGTGTGTTGTGTACATACAAGCAATTTACTTTCTTCTTAAAATAGATATTTCGATCTTATGTATTAGACAATTCATTTTTAAGATTAGCGTTAATTTAAATCAAGAATTGAGTTTTGAATCTTGTTGTTTTAAAGGAATTATTATTTACTTTACAAATAAACTTCTTATTTACCTCATGATTTTTAACAAGGGATTTTTGTACATATCATACCTAATATACCAGGCACATCTCGAAAACGACTCGAAAGATTTGGATAAAATTTCAAAAAAGTTTTCATTTGCATTTTTTGTTTTATATCGGTGACTTATTTAAAAAACCAATTTTATAAAAAGAAACAGGCGAGCAAGTCTAGAATACCCAGGTATACTGCTCTAACAGCACGTATGTATTATGTGTTGGTATGTCCTTGCATATTAAATACAATATTGAGAAATTTATAATCCAAATTTATAATATATCTCGATAAATTGAGAAATAGCATCCTCAATTCATCGAGATTTTTACCTTCTCCATAAAGTGAAGTAGAAAAAGGATGTAAAATCTTATTAATACCATATTTCGACATAAGTCGACACTATCGAAGATTGAAGATTCTGATATAAAACTCGGTATATCTCTGTTTGATTGGCATCGTCCATCTTTATTTTGATCGCGGTTCATTCATGAGCTGCGTGATAGAATCGGACGTCAATCATCTCGGCAGGGGACTGTCGTCATATTAAACACCAGTTCACCTTGCCTTTATTCATAATTATATACTTGTACGACTATCAAACATTTTGTAATGGACAATTGTTTTACTGTCTTGTCCTATAAGGTAAAACTGCCTCTAGCGTCCTATTATTGTAGTTTTATGCTAACCTGCTTTTAGCATAACCTTATTTTAGTTGCCAGGAATAATATATATTATATTTTCGACATCTGACACACAACCATCATCACACGCAATCTAGTTTAAAAATAAGCAGAGCTGGTACTATGAAAGCTAGATTGACAGATAGAATACTTAAATACCATACTTTACTTTTATTTTTTTGTAAATACATACATATTATACTAAGAAAACAATTAAACCCCGGAACAAATATTTGCAGATCATACAAACATTTGGTCCAACCCGGGCATCGAACCCGAGACCTCAACACAGCATGCGTATACTCTAGCACTGCGCCACCGAGGCAGTCAAAATGAGTTGCTGAAGTCATTTTATCATTAATGTATCGTTAGCTCGACCTTAGTGACATCACGGCCTCACAGAAAGCTAGTATTAAGCAGTTCTTTCGTTGCTCTTCTTACTCCGGAGTTACAGGTGTCCATGAGCGGCGGTAGTCCAGGTGACCCGACTGCTCGTTTGCCCAAAAATGTAACAAAAAACAAAATAAATAATACCATCAACCACTAATGTCTACCGAAATGTTTTCTTTTTAATTCTTAATAGAAGAACTCTATGATAAATAATTTGACAAAAAAACTTGAAAAGCGTTAAACAGGATCCGCAACGCCTGCGAGACATACATAAGTTTTATTGAACGGCGTCATTTACGTATTTACTATCTTTTGATTTTTTGTACCACTAATACAAAAAATCTAGGCACACGACAACAAGTCATGGAAGACTATACTGCACATGGCAGTACTACGTAAGTAATTACATTATAATTAAATACCGTTAAGAATCGAAGGACATTAGTGTTCATATCGGACTCTCATCACCTTCAAAAGTCAGAAGCCAGTTCGATTGAAAACCAATCGATTGAGATCATAGATCATTGACGACTGGATGGCGTAGTGGTTTGTGTAACGGACTGCTATTCCATAGGTCGCGGGTTCGATTCCTCAAGTCAAACATTTGTGTGCATGAACATTTGATGTTTGATTTGGTCTGGGTGTTTCTATGTATAATATGTATGTATTTACAAAAAAAATGTATATATGTATTTATATCAGTTGTCTAGTACCCATAGTACAAGCTCTGCTTAGTTTGGGACTAGATGGCGTTGTGTGTATGTGGTAGAATATAATTATTATTATTTATTATCACTGTTGTTGCGACTGTTTTTCAGCCACGGTAGGCTCTTAACATCAAATGTTAATAATAAAGCCTTATTGATCGTCCAGTCTTCTTCCACCAATATCCTAAATTAGTTTTAATATTTTTTTTCATGGAATGACCCTTCGCAGCTACCGTTTAATAACACACTTTGTCCCTATTACGACATAATAAAGCACTTCTAAAATATAATTAACAAGTGATGATCATAATTATTTAACACTCAATTAGCCTACAATATAATTATCTTGTCGTGATGTAATAAAACTGGTTGTCAGGGCCGAAGGCCGCGCCCTTCGGTGCTCGACGCAGCGCGACGAGGTGCATTGTGAACTGAACGGGTGCATCGTCTCGCTCCGTGGGTGCAACCATATTGTTCGGTATACTACTTATTTAATT